TGGGCCAAAGAAATCTCTCATGTTATCTATCTAGTTCCATTGCATTCTCCTACTGCATTCGATTGCATAACAGTCATTCACACACGTTTACTGTTGAATGACAGCTAGTTTTATAACAAAACCATTTTTTTCTGAAGAGCAGCCGACAGCTGGACCACTGCGATTGCAGCTCACTTAGAGTCAATATTAAAATGTTTCGTGATACATGAACTGCAGTAACGTGGCATTTTAGATACTACGATTTTTATGCAGGGCTGGGCACCACCTCAAGAGTGTCGCATAGTTACTTAGGCAACATTTCACGAATGAACGTCTTCTAAGCCAACACTTCCCCTCTTCCCACCAGACCTCAACCTCTGTGACTTTTGTCTATGAGGTTATCTCAAAAGCACTGTTTATGGTGATAATCTAAACAATTTGGCAGAAATGAAAAATGTGATACACTGATAACATTCCTCCTGATATGCTATGTGTAACGTGTATACGAGCCAGTTTCCCTTAAAAAGTCCTCCACGAAAGCATCCCTTCCTTAAGGCAGATAGCCCTCGAGTGCTTTGCCGTAATCTAATAAACCAAACCTGATATGCTAAGAGCTGCTGTTGAGAATGCAGTAACATGATTTAACTTGCTTTCGGAAAATGCTGGACGCTACATTGAACATGCTTTGTAACACGTTTCGGAAAATATTAAACACATTTAAAAAGATGTTTTCGTGTCTTATTTCATTTAAAAATATTGTATACAGCGCCATTTTCCCCCTGATGGTGAGTTTTTGAACTCTTTTTTTTCCTCCGAAAATAAATTCCCATAACCTCCTTTACACGATTCCCAAGTTTGATAACATTTGGTCCGGTAGTTTTCCTTTTATGATCATTTCAAATTGAAACTTTAATTATAACCACCATGTAAATTAAACTTTAAAAGTTTCACAGTTTGGTTCAAATCCCAGTCCCAGCTTTAAAAATTATATATAAATATAAATCTTTTATATTAATCCTCTTAGAAAGAATGTTTTTAAGAAGCTAATTTTTCTCTCGCGTTTATAGATTGTATAAAAAAAACATGATCTTTAGTATGATTTAGATTGTTTCAGCCCAGCCGATATAAAGAATCGGGTCACTCGGTGGTACAGAATAAACCCTGCTGGACTGCTGGACTGTTTTATTTCCTTTGTCATTTAGCAAAAAATCTTTTAATTAAAATATTTATCCTTTGGACTTCGCTTTAAACTTTATTTATAGCTAAAATGACTAGAAAATGAAAAGCTGTCTTTAGCTGAAACGCAATTCATATAATTGATATTTTAAAAAATTGACAAGAATGCAAAATGTATGAAAGTCTAGCAGTCGAAAAATCTTAATTTTCTTGTGTGAGCACTGAAAATAACTGTAGAAGGAAAGAAGAAAATTAGGGAGAAAAGTAAGCAAAAAATTTGCAGGGAAATTTGGCTATCAGACATACCAAGATGTTCAAAAAGTTGGACGCTTTCGAATATACTTTCAGAATATACTTCAAAGAATTTAGGTGTTTCAAAGAGAAAACACTTGGACGTGTACACCAGCAAATACCATCAATTGAGCTTGTGTTAACAGAAAAGACAAAAACGATATCATTGCAGATTAAAGTGAAGAGCGACTGGTTTTAAACTATATGGTTGTGTAAATTACGTTATAGAACATCATATCGTATCATAAATGGTGAATCCCATGATTTTCTCAGTCAAATTATTTGAAGATTCAGGAGTTTATCCAGTGATGTATGTGGATGTCACCTAAAGATGTTTTTTTTTTCCCTTCCTGATGAAACAGCGATCGAGTGGTAAAGTCGCTGAACACCGGTAGTTCGGTCCGAGGTTCGAATCCCGCGAACGGGCTGGCTGCATGGGCGTTTTCGTGGTTTTCCCCATGTGTAACGTGTATGCGAGCCAGTTTCCCTTAGAAAGTCCTCCAGGAAGGCATCCCTCCTCTTAGGCAGATAGCCGTAGTGTGCTTTGTCATAATAAAATAAACCAAAACCTTTGGATGAAACCAGTCTTTCCTTTCATCTAATACCTTCAAAATGTTTAGCCTCTAAAGACTGATAAAGGCTCTGACGAAATACTTCGTGAAGAACTTTCTAAGGGAAACTAACTGTCATACGCGGTACACATGAGATAATCCACGAAAACGCCCATGCAACCAGCCCGTTTACCGGTGTTCGAACCCCGGAGTGAACTACCAGTGTTCAGCAACTTTACCGCTCGGCCGTTTGTGGGCCTTTATGAAATGGAAGGCGATAACTTTATTTAAAATGATTGTCAGAAATACCAAAATGTTTTTTAAAGTTGTATACTTTTCAATATACTTTCAGAATGCTTAAACAAAAAGAGAAGAAAAATAAATTTTTTCGTAAAATTTAGTATTCGTATTTTTTTTTTAATTTAAAACTTTTCAATCTTATGATATTTGATTCTTGCGATTTCAAAAATAAAATATTTGACTAAAATATGAATAACATTTTAAGAAACCAAATGCAGGATAAAATTGTGTAAAGCAATGGGCACAATGATAAAACTGTTTAAAGTAGTGTATGCAAGTCATCGTAAGTTAAAATATCGGTTATACATCTCTCTTATTTATATATATTTTTTCTGAACGGAACATTGAAAGGCCTGTAAAAACTGTGCTTTACTGTATTTTTCTCTTTTAATATAGTATGCAGTTTTCAAATGCATCGTAGTCTGGGTTACAAAGTATTCTTCCGAAAGAAACGCAAATTCAAATAAATAAAATCAAATTCTGGAAAATTTATATTAATAAATATATTTAAAATGCTCAGTTCGAAGGAATAAATAGAAAATTTTAAAACAATTATCTGAAGAGACAATGCAACACAAACAATTAAATAAAAGTAATAAAAATTTAAAAATTACCTAAAATAATAACTATGACGAAAAAATATATATAAAGAAAACTATTTGAAAAAAAAATAAATAAAATAAACGCTGCACCTTTATTTACGCAGTTCGAATAGGTAAATAGAAATTTTTAAAACAGTTATTCGAAAAAAAAAAAAAAAAAAAGTGCAACTTAAAACAATTAAAATGAAATTCGAAAAAGAAAAAATTACTTAAAATAATAAGTTATAATTAAAAATATAATATAAAGAATATTATTTGGAAAAAAGGAACGATGGTGACTTTTTTTCCTCTCACGGAAAAGGAAACTAGGTTGCCATATATTAAGAAGTTCGCCAAGTAAAGTATTCTTGGCGCAAACTGACAAAAAGTGCCAACATAAATTTGTGAATTTCTCCGTAAATTTCGCTCCAAATTTTACAAAATTTCATATTTACGCGTAATTTGAGTCGTAGAATCGAAATATGTAAAAAAATTGGTATGTTATTTCAGAAAAAGTCCGATTTTTTGTCAAAATACCTATGTTAGAATAGTGCTGTATATAAATCTCATATATATCCTAAGTCGCGCTTTCGAGACATAAAGAACGCAATTTGAATTTTGTCAATCGGCCCAGTAGATCGGGAGATATAGGACTGTCCCATTTTTTTTTTTTTTTTATAGTTTTTTTAGTTTTTTTAGAAAATCGACATAATGGGCAAATTTTCTTAATTTTGCACACAAGTGAATAACTATTCTCTCTAGTTAATCACACTGACATTTAGTCTTTTTATCTTATGTATTTACCAGCCGTGCTTCTTATAATAGAAATTCCTGAGCTGGATATCGGTAGGGTTGGATGCAGAATATTTTGCAATTTGCTCCGCTATTTACCGTATGTGGTTAGTTCAAAACCTTTTTAGTTAAACACACTTCCAAATATATGATATAATTAACATACTTCTCGCTAGAAAACAAGCAATTTCAACAAAAATCATTTCTTATTGATGCAGAGTAATTGCTGTTCTATACATATTTATTCTATGTTTAACATTGAAACGAGAAGAGATCCAATCAGGAGGACAATCAATTACAGTTAGTTCAGCTTGGTATACAGAGTATATGTTTTGTAATACTAGCCGCTTGCGTGGCCAGCTGCCTAGCATAGTTATAATGAAAAGAAAAAAAAATGTATAATGAGTTCAGCTAGCGCGTTTATAAAAATATTTAATATTTTTCATTAGACATCTCATGGTTTAAATGCATTTTTATTTAAATCAATCAAATTAAAGAATAGAAGTAATATTCTTCAGAACTGCATTTATTGCTTTTTAAATCCCTTAATTTGTTAATCTACAGCAGACAGATTAAATTTGAAATTCCAGTGTTTAACTGAATGAGAACATGCTGGCGCATGGAAGATAAAATTATTTTATTTCAGGCAATGATACACACAGTACTTTTAAATAGCCGAATTTTTTTATTAAAACTGAATGGTAAAGTATCTTATATATTGCACACAGGTAACATTCTGGAGCACTGTTTTATTTCGAGTAGTGTTACTAGTTACCACTGACTTTCAAAATATGAAATAAATAAGCAAATCTGAAATTCAACATTATGGTTTCGAAGTGCACATTTTGGAGTTAAGGACTACTTGTATTCAAAATTTGCTAGCTGTAGGTGCCTTTATTTTTTCCTGCAGTACAAGGAACATATACACATTTACATACATACGTACGTATACGCGCACACATCATACATACGTACGTATACGCGCACACATCATACATACATACAGATTCTTCTTTAATGGAGAAGAGAATTAACATTTACTATCGATTTCCAGGCCATAAAAATAAAATACGCATGAGCAGCCAACACCCTCTTTATACTCTAAACCATGTATAAATGTTAATTTCGCTGATTCCAAGAAATAATTTATTAAAATATATATCATATCTTTTTGCTGGATAGCAAAAATCTAAAATAATATCTAACATTTAACAGTACTTTGGGTATTGAAATTAGTAGTTACGTATGTAAAATAAGAAACAGTGCTGTAAGTAATGATGCAATATTTACAGGAACATCAATGTTGATTGTATATTTTATTTTGTTTTAGCAGATCAAAGTGTTTCCGAAGAATCAAATGTGTCTTCTGTAGACGTATCCGGTGTTTCTCCAGTTTCATTAAACGGACCAGATCAAGTAAGTCACATTGCTTAAAATGGCCCAACATTCAAAAACTTAGCATTGTTACTTCCATAGGCATCCAAAAAGAAGATTTTAACGAGAAAAAATTATCGTAATTTGTAAATTTTTTAGGGATAATCGAAGTGTTTTCTCTTTGGAAAAAATCACTAGCAACGCAATGTTCAAATAGATAATTACTATGATAATCAAAAATTCTTTTTCCTTCAACTAATCCTCATTCACAGATTTTTCCTATTACTTTGCCCATAATTAAACGGTTCTTATAATATTACTGAGCTTATAATAATTATGATATTTTAATTATTGGGCTGCTGATATTTAAAATTGAACTTGACGATCATAACTAATTTGTTATTTTTAAAAAGTTTTAGCGTGTGTCAAGCATGAATATTTGCTATAAGATTTTAAACGTAATTTAGTATGATTTTGCTTTTTAAAACGAATTCGAAATTAAGCCAGTTGTTTGTAATTTTATCTTAAAAAGCAATACTTCGTGCATAGGCTCTCAAATTCAAAGACTGTAGGTAGTTTCAGTAGTTAATTTTGTCAACTCCTTTTCTCCCTTCCAGCTCTTTCCTTACTAGAAGGAATCAAAACTTAACTTACTGTCAAATTCTTTTTCTTTTTATTTCGTTACAAACGTATTGAAATGCCAGTGAAACATTTTTAGTTAATCCCAGGCATAATGTACAGTAATGCTGTCTCTGCACATTATTGGTTTTGACAAGCACTGCTGTAAGAAGTGATAAACATCTGTGGAAGCTTCTGCAGTTGCTTCTGGCTTGAGAATGAAAAATGTCTATCATTTAAGCAACTTTTACTGAGGTCTAAATTTAACTTAAAAGAAAGTTCATATCATTTTGAAGGAGCAGGCGAAATATGGGTTTTTAAGTATGATCATTTTAAGTATACCGTAAATGCACGAATTAGGGCAAAATTTTGAACTTAACAATATTAGCGTAGCCGTAAAAGCGCTCTGAATAAGCACAACTGCCTCAAGTAAAACCAAAGTTCAGTGTTGGAAGCTTCAGCAAACTTCAGCTTGTGTAACGTTTCCTTCATTGTACCGGATTTGAGAGCACTCAACAAAAGTACCTTCGAAGAATGCCTACTCTAAGCAGTGCAGCTCTCTCAGACTGGGTAATTCTAACATTGGACACTCGATGCATTTAAAACACTTACAGAGTTTGACTTTCTTTGGTAGCATAAAGTAGTAACAAGCTCTAACAGACTTGGAGAGTATCGCTTGGTCATATGCGAGAGTAGTAAAGTTATACGTGATTCTTATGGGAGCAGTTCATCCAGCATAGTGGTTCTCCTTCGTAAGTTCACAAGGAAAACAACATATACCGAAAACTGTTTGAATCAATCAATGTACTACAAAATGACATTTTGTAGTACATTGATACCCTCTCTGAAACTGATTTACCCTCTCTGAAACACATTTTGCAATGAAAATATTTTGGTTTATTATTTGGCGAATATTTGAAAGGCGCTTATTTTTGAGTTACAATACAATATTTCGTACATGTCTGAAAGAGTTAATGAAACGCTTTTATATTTCTCTATTAATACATTTGCTCTTTTGAATTTAATTAATTTTTTGCTACAATTTTCGCTTACACTTTATACATAAATTACTTTAAAATTAAGTCTGAGATCAGAATTAATTTAAATTTCAATTTAATTGTGAGTAAATGAAAAAATTAATAATTCAAGCTATATGAAATTCCATTTAAAATGTAAAGTATACTGTTACGATATAAAATAAGTACAGGTCGAAAATAATCTACCTTTTTTTTTAGTGTTACTGACTTGTCGATTTGATACAAAATATTGACCAAAAATTTTTTTCAACAGTTTAATAATAGTGAAATGAAGAAAATCTTTAAAGAATATTAAAACATATATATATCTTAACACTCAATTTTACGAAGACATGATGTTGTGTTTAACAATGATCACCAATAACGCTGATTAAATCTGATAATTTCTTATTTTTCTTTTAGGTTCTTGACGCAAATTCTTCTTGCATGGTTTTACCAAGGATGTCAAATGCACAGTCTAGCTATCCTGCCCCGTATGCTAATAGCAGTTTGATTTGCAATACTTCTGGTTCCCGTAAGTAAACTAAAAGAATGTAGCTTATTAGTTTTAATCTAAAGCTGTCTCTTCTTAATTTTGAATTATCTTTTATCCCGGCACGCAGAATTAAAGGAAAACATAGGAAAGTGAAATTAATTGCCAGGTAATCGTTGTAAATGCAGTTGTCTGTAAATCTATCCAATCTGAAAAAAATATCAATACGCATTGCCTACAGCACAAACTATGCAAAGAAAGGTGCTGTTGTTAAAATTCACAGACTCATTTAATATTCTTATTGTGAAATTATTGAACGTTTATGCGTATTCAGATACTGTTGAAAACAAGCTTAATTTCTAAAATTAGATGTGCAAACACAAACTCAGATCGTGCGATTTTTTGCAAATTTGCTACTTTTTTACTTTTTTTTTTTAGCAGCACAAGTTTTTGACAAACTTGTGCTGCTAAAATTTATGTTATCGAATTTGCGATTTTTCTGCTACTTCATCATTTCGCTGCGCTACTTTTTGCTGCTTAAAATTTCTTTTTAAATTTGTTACAATATCCGTATATGCTAATATAACGTATCTATACAAATTAATTTATACTAAATAAAAATAAAACTTATTGCATTTTTTTGACTAACAACTTTCCAGTTTTACAGTTGCATAAATGAATGTGACCCGCTTTTATGTAGAGGAAGTATAAAAAAATACTAAGTATATACTCTCCCCAAAATATATAACAGGTGTTCAAAACGAAACACACACACACCGTAAGGGAAACTTTTCAGATTTTATATTACGCCCAAAAGGGAGTTTCTTTAACGTTTGGTGTGTTACTTTTATTTATTAAATATCATGTTCTTAAACCACATAAATTCAATAGACCAGCAATATCACAATATATTTAAAAACAGCATATCTTTAGAATTTCCGATACACAATCTCGCGCGTTGGAGATAAAAATGTTTTTTTCCGTACAGTTTTGCCACTGCTTGCTTTATCTTTTCGTTTAAATTCAACACCAAAGTAGTTGGTGACTGTGATCGTAAGTCCGTGCCATCTGTAAACTATAGTGTTTCATAAAAGGGTCTTTTACACCGTTCTATCTTATCTGTTCTATCTATTTTTGAGACTGCGAGAAGTCGCAATTTAGACTTTTAAGTAAATCTTGTTTCATTGTATGTTAGCAAAGAGGATTAGATCCCACAAGCTAACGACACCGGGTTTAAAACGATCTACATAATAAATTTACCATTATTTTCGCCTTTTTGGTGGTGGTGGGGTATTATTAAGCCTCTTTCTTTTTGTGAACTTATTGTTCTGTGTTGCATGAATCTTACAGTCGAGATTAATATTTCATCCCGTTTTTAAACCATTGATATCAGATGTCTAAGCGGAGCCCCAGCCACCAGCGCCTTGGAAAATTTCCTGAAGTTCCGATGGCTCCGTCTAACCTTGGATACTGTATTTATATAATTATAAATAATGTATTTATATAAGGCAGGATATTAACTGTGCTTTCTAGGAATTTTCTTCTCTAAACGTATCAGCTAGCTGTAGAATATAATGTTTAATATTTGGACTGAGTGAGATCACATCGGGTCGGATATTAAAAAATTTCTGGTAATTTTTTTCCTGCCACCTAAAAGCTAAATATAGGTTAATGTAATGAAAGTGAAAGAATCTCACCGAAATTCTTTTCCACAAAGATAGTGCGGTAGAAAAAATAACTGACTCTTGTTTTTATAACACAAAATAAAAGACGCACTTTTTTCGATATAGTGGAGCATTAATTCAATTAATTATAAATCATTTGTGTCAAAAAGTTGTGAAAAATCCATTTATAAAAATTAATAATTTTTTAAGTAAAAAAAATGTAGTTTACGAAATCATGAAATAGTATTATTACGGATTTGGTATTTAAATAGCTAATGTTAGTAGAATTATAAATTAAATTGTTTTATACCCCGTGCAGTGCAGCGAGTGACGAATATTATGAGAAAGCTTAGCCGGAAAAATTAAAAATACAAGAGCACGTGCATTTAACATTTAATAAATAAATATCTCTTATTGATTTCGAGAAAATACCAGAAAATTCTGCCGCATTTAAAAAGCTTACATAAGCGGCATGTAAACCTCTCAATTCATTTATTTAGTTAATTGTTATTTTAAGAGTTTGTTGACTGCTCTTGTTGACTGTAGCGAATTCGCGGATAAGCTTTCTCTAGCTGTTTTGAATTAAGTTCTGTTGAATGTCTGCGTTGATAAAAGACAACTACTGTGAGATATTGTAATACTGTACGAATATTGAGAAAATTTAAACATTTTGTTTTATTTGTTGTGATAATAATGAATTTTGTTCATTTTTCATCGAACTTGTGCATTCAATTCATAACGAATCCGTACGCACGCAGCAGTATTTAGTTTAGGATAATATCCTATGAACCAGTACGATTTCAATTTCAGAAATTCTACTCCAGAATATTGTAAACTGACATTAAGCCACTGAATATTTTTCTCGTAGAATAACGAAATTCCATGTAGAAATATTGCAGAAGTTTTCTATAATTTGCTGGAATCATTTCGTAAATATGGCATTTCTCTATTCAAGCGACTTAATGAACTTATGTAAATATTTTTATGCCTGTAACTTGTATGTTAATTAACATAATTTTCCTATGAATGCAGATACTTGAAGGTATCTCAAGGAGAGATATTTATCTGTTCATTAATCCTGTGTGCATCTGCGCGTCTGTAAACTTACTATCGCGCCCTCAGCTCACATTTCTATTGATAGAAAGAAGCGAAGAAAATAATCTAGCAGCGATAAATAACAGATTAAATACCTTTAATACTTTACAATTAATTTAATAATTTTTATTAGGACAAAACAAGATGCTGCGAAACCTTTTGCAATCCGCTGAAAATTACTTCGCGACCATCTGCTCTTGATAGTTGCCGAACGGTTAAGACCACTTAATACTGGTAGTTTGGGGTTTTGAACCCAGGGTGAACAAAATGGCTGTGTGGTTGGTTTTAGTGGATTCGAGTATGAAATGTTCGGTTTGGTTTACTTGATTGTGGCAAAGTACTCGAGGTCTATCTGCCTAAGAGAAGAATGCCTCCGTGGAGGACTTTCTAAGGGAAATTGGTTCGTATACATTTGTTACACGTGCGTAAAAATACGAAAACGTCCAGGCAGCCAGCCCGTTCAAAGGATTTGAACCTCGGACCCATCTACCAATGTTCAGCGACTTTATGTGGGTCCCATATGTAATGTGAATACGCCGAGTTTCCCTTAGAAAACTTCCACAAACGTGTTCGTTTCTTTAGGTAGATAGCCACCTCTTATGTTTTTCGATATTTAAATAATCAGTCAACCAATCATCTTCTAGAGGCCCGCATTTTAGGAGTCTTTGGTATACACTATACTAATACAGTTCGTTCTCATTAGGAAATTTGTATTACTTATAACAATAAAACAATAAAAATTTGACATAAAAAAAAATAACTCATTTGGATAGTCATTCATATAAAGTTATGGTTTCCTCTGCTTTTGTCTCTATCACGAGTTTAACACCGTTACTGAAATGTTCTTATTATTAATACACATACCTTATACATTACGTAGCCGTACTACAGAATTTTGTTGGAATTACCTCACATTTTTTCTGAAATTCTTTCACAGCGGGAAGTTTTAGTATCTGAACAGCACGACCAACTGATTTCTGTTTTAAATAGCTGTGACAAAATTGCTGACATTTAAAAATTAAAATCTTATAAACTAGCTTCTGATACTGAATTTCGCTTTTCTAAAATTTTTCAATAAAAACTATAAAAAACTCACAAAATAAATAAATAAATAAAAATATGCGTTAAGTTTGTGAATTATATTGCATTAATGCTTTCTCCTTCTCTTTTACAGCATACAAGAATCAAATGTTCCTTTCCAACGGTTCTTCGGACTACACATTTATTCATACTCCAATGCCAATTCTGCAACGTAACAGAAATTTAATTGCATAATAAGCTCCTTCTACATGGCTTCTACAAGAAAATTTATTTGCTGGTCAAGGTCAAGCAATATTAAGATATTTTATTTCCTCGGATTGCTTAGAAGACAGACTTGTCGAAGAGGTTACTGTTTTCTCTCTACTTATTCAGCTCCTGACAAAGATACAGTGTTTTCATCATTTTGAAGTTTTTTAATAAGTTTTGTAAAGTTCTCCTTTTTATAGAATTTCTTTACATTATTTTGATTCCATCGTAATTCAAGGGCATAATATTTGTACTTAAATATCCTCTTCGATAAGACTCTCCATTTTTCATTAAGCTTGAATAATACAGTCAATATTTTTCCTCTTTAATCAAGTTCTCCCAGTGTTACGCAGATAAGGAAAGTTCATATTATGACACGGTGAAGAAATTGAAAAATGATAACGGTCTATAAATTAATGAATTTGGTGCAGTTTTCACCATTCATACACAATAAGCAATTTTCTTTCGAGTAATAACAATAGAAATAGATAGAACGTTCATTTTGAGTTCAACAATGAAAATTAATTCAAAAAATATCAAACAATAATTAATCCATTCGTTAGTCTAAAATAATTTATCTAAAAATCTCTTATAGAGTTTTATATTTTCTGTCTGATAGTTATTCTTTATGCAATCTTTCTTCTGGCTTCAGTAAATTTGGGTTTTAATTTCCTCTTAACTCCAAAAACGTGTTAAGTTAATTGTCATATCAAAAAACAGAAATACACATTTAAGGTTTTTTATTTTTATTATTATTATTATTATTATTATTATTATTATTATTATTGAAAAGTTCTGTTCCCTTTCGCTCAAAAAGGTGATAAACTAGTGTTGCTCCTCCAGTTTCAACTCCTAATGTATATAGTATAAAATAATTTCTTCTCTATTTGTTTAATTTATTGCTTTACACTTCTTGCTATAGCTACAATGTGAGTTCTCCTCGTACTCTTATACTGTCGGTGTAACTGCCAGTGGAACTCTATAGAGTTCCACTGGCAGTTACAACTCCTGCCAACTACACTGAAATTTGGACTAATAAATCATTAATAATGTGACATTTAATTTGGTTTCTCGACTCTCTGATGTAAGTGAGATAATATGTAATGGAGTAATTTTTTCCAGCTCTGTCTGATTGTCAGTCCTGATTCAGGTACCTGGTGACGAAAACGTAATTTTTGTATTCTTATGACCTATTTCTAAGAATATAGAATAGACAAACTTCCTTCCTAATCTAAATGGCTTCAATTTATTTTTGTCTGGAAGCATGCTAATGGCATGTCACGTATACTTGAATGAAAAGCAAACCAAATATCGGAAGTAGAATAATAAATTATACATAAGTAAAAAAAGATACACAGATAAAGCAATAAATTTACGAGCAAACCTAATCTCTGAAAAAGTTTTGAACAAGTAAAAGAAAATCATGCGAAAGATTTTATTATGTTAAATAATGTTATAACATATAATACAAAAATGTTAATTTTTATAATTCATTTCTAATTTTCTTGACCACGAATAATTAGGGATTACTGTATATCCACAGCTACATTGTGATATTTTGTATACATATGTGTATGTATATACATGTCGTTTATCGACTCGATTTTATATTTAATTAAATGCTGTAAATTTGTTTTTGATGTTGTGTACATTGTATTGTTTACTGTATGTTGTATTGTTTTACTGATGCGTACATTTTCATATCGTGTTAAAATATTTGCGTTGTTTGAATTTGGTATTTGATACTAAAACATCTTGTAGTCTATGGTAGAAATGTCTATGGTAGAAGTATTTTAAATAATTGAAGTTTATGTGTTAATTCTTTTCAAAGCTTAATATGAATTATTTAATTCTTGAACTGGAACTCATTTTAAAATTAGAATTTAATATTGGCGTCCTTCACCCACAAATTGATGATTTTACAAATGACATTTCTTTTTCTCTTTCCATATGAAATTCAGAAAAAATGCATCTGCAGATAAATCTTTTGAATCGTTTCTTCATTCACTCATTGTAAATAAAAACTATTGTTCATCTTACCATGTTGTTGCCTTGTCAAATGTCATCACAATAGTATGGTCCAACTAGTCCACAGCCTGTCGAACTACAGGTGCACGCCTGTATGCACATTAAAATAACAATACTCGCTCACTGTCCTGCTGTGTGTCAGATATTTTGTACTATATATGTAAAAATATGGGTCATTGCTCACATTTTAAGATGCGTTTTTGTTTAATTGTACATATATTATCTATACTATTAATAGACATTAACAGCTGTATTTACTAATAATACTGAACTTATAACAAGGTTACAAATGCTCCTTATGATATTGTATTTGCATTTTGAGACATGGAGCACCTCGAGATTTTCATCAGAACATGAAATAGTTTCCTGATATTACTGAGATACATTTCCTTATTTCATATACTGATTCTAATGAATTTTTTAATCCGCGTGTTTTTTTAAAATTACTGCAATTTAAAGCAACGTAAATTGCTGCAGACAATTAAATTCTGTTAATTTTCATTAATTTGCGAATTGTTCTTAATTTATTTAGCTTAATGATCATAACGAACTTTATTGTCATGAAATTTTTTGCAGTCAATCTCTCGATAGTATAATACCCAAACCAGGGATGTATCCTTTATTTGTCTTTGACAAAGAAAGTGAGAATAATGCTAATCTTGAAATGAAAAAGGTGTAGGTTAAATTTTAATTCGGTATTTCCACATCTCTAAAATTTTAGAATGACTCATATTTCTGTAAAATTTTAGAATGACATATATTTCTAATTATTTAACACCAGCAGAATCAATATTGAGAGTGATGTTTCTACTACTGTTGTTTTTCATAACTGTTTGGTTCAAGAGCAATATTACTTATGTCGTTTAATTTGCCTTATTTAATCCTGCTTATGCCAAAGTGAAAATTAAAGATGCTCGTTACATAATATTCTCTGTAGTCGCTATTTTCATTACAAAACATTTGATGACAACGCACTCATCATATGAAACGCAATAATTCTGAGTATTATACACTCAATCTTGTAAAATATTTTGTAATAAATTTGTAAAAAAACAAGTGTGTTAAGAGAGTATCATTCCATATCTACTAGTGTCCGTTTTTCTGACTTCAAATATCGTATATTCTGTTTTTGATATTTAGTGAACTGTATTCTGCGGACGTGTTGTCGTTCTACCTTCAGTAGAACTCAAAGAAATCTCAAACCGTTTGACATGATTGAAATTCGTTTATTTTCTTCTTAAGACGTCACGTAGGCTGATGTACTGCGACTCGCCAAACACAGCGAAAAACTCGGAATTCCACCTTGCTACACCAAAGCACACCTCAAAAGAATATCTATACGTCATTGGGACCTCCAAAAAATTAACTAACCAACTGAAGCTCCTAGCAACCCCCCTTCGCTGGGGGGATTGCTAGGAGCTTGTGCCGCTACTCAGTTACTAAAAATACAATTTGCATAACACCTAACAGGGTTCAAGCGGAAAGTATATTTCTTATACACTGATCTCTTCTAACTGAAAAACTAGCCACATGATCTACCTTTACTTTGGTTTTACAAGTGAATTTAATAAGCTCTTACTTGTCACAAATTATTAGTAATTTTTAATATCAGCAGTGAGAAATATCTTAGTCATTGAAATCAATTACCTTAATAAAGAAGAAGCTTGTTTTAAACCTAATTAGGAATGATAAATCGAACAGCATCAAGCTTCAGAATATCAATTAAAAATTTGTTATTAAATAATTTCTTTTTTCATCATTGAAACAAAACACAAGGTAGGCATGAAGTCTTTCCCTGTTTATTAAAATTTATTACGCGAAAACTATTGTCAATAGACGTATATGGTATTTTGAAAATTGTAATTAGAGCAATTTTTTACATAAACAGTAAATTTCAATGTGCGTCCTCTTTGTTGCTTGGAAAACGTTAAGTAGGTTATTTCAGTTCTCGTCCCATGTTCTTCCACATTTTGCTACATAGTACTTGACATAGTATCTGTTATTCTGGCTTTCAATACATGCACTGTTGCGAAAAAAACTCAGTCCCTGATGTGTTCTAACAAAACTTTCTACAAAAAGAATTTTTTAGATAGTCTGGCTCGTAATCAGTTCAGACTCAAGTTGGCTAGCTGGTAAAGGGTTTTACTTGCCACACATTTTCTTAAAATTTTAATAAGCAATGAGATTAAAGTTTAGCTATCTTTTCAGATACTGAACAGGAAATAATACCGAAAAAAACAACATGCAATGCTTATTTTCTTCCTCAATTTAACAACTTATTTTTAGTTTATCTTCACAAAATAAATATATTGTGCATCTACTACTTCAGTTCTTCAGAATTCTAAACTTTTTAATGATGTAAAATAAATTAATATTGATCTTTGTAATAAATTTATAAAAGTGAGCAAATTAACAAGTTCTTTATTACTCAGTTTATTACTGTGGATTTATTTAGTAGGGAAAAAAGTTTAGTTTTTACCGTGCCCTCTCCTTAATACTACATTAGAAAGTTTTGTGATAATCTAACTTTTTAATATATCATGTTTTATGGCATACTGATTTCACATCAAAGAAACAATTATAAATATGGATTCGTCAGGGGTTGAACATGCTTTGTATAAGCTTTAATATAATAGTATTGTGAAAAAGAAAAGCATGTTGTTGTAATTTCATTTTTATCTCCAGGATAATACATAAAATGGCCATTCAATAAAGTGACCTTCCCTTTAGAGTATTTATATGTTCATTTTAATGAATTGTTGGAATGAAGGCAGGATAAATCAATCTGCTGATTAGAACTTATTTAGCTATGTGTTCTCAGTCTTTAAAAAGGTTAAGATTTATAGGAGTTACAAATACCTCAGAATAAGTTCTAAAGACGTGTTATCGAGATCATATATATATAAGAGTCTTTATAAAGATCTGAAAACTGATAAACTGAGGAATACATTAAGTTCGTCAACAGTAAATTCATCGAAAAAGAAAACTGTTGTAATTTTTTTCTTCGCCTTCTAAAACGTTAAAAATTAGCCAGTGGCTTTAGTCTTGATACCATATATCAATTCATCTTTTAAAAATATTAATATTGATTTTCAGTTATTTAAATTATTCGCCTATAATTTCGTATCAATATATTCTCATTTCAAATCTTCTGTTATTTTTCATTTGTTTTCCTATTAAGCTTTGCTTTCCTATCAGGATGTTATCTATCATAAACTGCTAAGTTTTTTCTGAGATAAAATGTCCCTTCACCTCTTTTGTCATTTTACTCTCAATTTCAGGTGCCTTTCAGTGTCAGAACTTATTGTTAAACTCCTAATACAACTCTTTGAGTTTCAGTGGAACTCGCTTTTAGCGGTATTCTAATACAAAACGTTTCTACCCACGCATTTTATTTTGACCTGGTTGTCTGCGTCCACATAGACCACCCTCTTAGTACATAGAATACATAGAAGCAGTTGTAGCAGGAAAATGATGCGACAAATTAACACAATACAGGCCGGCTGCCGGAATAAGAAAGCCGCCCGTACTGGCGATTTACGAAGGGCGCCAACCAAGTTTTTCCCACGAGGGACAACTTAATGGAACAACAAGGGTAAAATGTTAAAACTGCGTGCTGTATCGTTAAATCTACTTACAAAATCAGTATCAGGACGTTTGATGTTAAGCATGAACTGCGATATGTTTGAATGCTGAAGAAATTTACTTCCTGAAAGGCAGAGCTGTTTCTTTCGTTTTTGAATAGCTTGTTATCTGATTTGTGAAAAAGGCATTTTTTAAAATTAAAAACCTATTCCTTATTTAAAAAAAAACATGCCTAAGATTTTAATTTTATTTTATATTCCTTATGCTAATATTTTTTTAATTTTACATTTACATCTTAACCTGTGTTCAAAAACAATTAAAATGCAATAGTAGAAAATATATTCGGTTATGAAAATTCTGAAAAACATCATTAGATCCAGAAATATAGTTTCAAGAAACTTACTAAAAACAAAAATACTTGCCATCTTTCACGAATGCTTTTTTTTTTCGTAATTTTTACGAGTCACCCC